CTGAGGCTGGATCTTCATCTGCTCTCTCAGGTTCTCTAAATGAGCTGCAAAATCAGCGGTTTACAGTTCTCTGTGGAGCTCTTTGCCTGTCTCGGTTATGCCTTTGTGATTGAGCATGCTAGGAAGGTTTTTCTGTCCATTCCCCTCTCCTTTCTGTCATGTTGGGCACTGTAGTTTGTAGACTTTATTTGGGAGGGAGGAGGCATGGAAGTATTCTAACATGTCTTATTGATTACCTATTTTTATGAAGATTAAGAGCAGACGATGTGTGTGCGTCAAAGTTTTTATCTACTTCACTTGTGGTCACTTTGTTTGTTGTTTACAGTGTAGAACATATGTTGGGTTTTTAAAACAGTGCTTCTCAATCATAATCAATGCCTGTGTAGCTGCTGAAAATTCCCCTGTACAAAGGCATGTTAGGTTGTCTTTTCTTATTTTAATAGTGCTGATTTTAGATTTTGTCTTATCATCATATCTTTATGGATATTTTACCAGGAATCTGTTAGGCTAGCCTGGGCAGAAACTATTTAAAGGAAAATAAACAAGCTTGTAACTTACATGGTATTGAAAATGAAATCATGAGAAGATTAAAATCATATCATATTTAGCCATAATGTGTAATAGAATGGAAATATTGAGAGAAATAAAGCATTTGATAGGAAGATAACTTTGACAGTTTTAAATGTATCAAGTTTCACTTGAAAGTACGGTAATCAATGGAGGAAAATGTCCAGTATGCATAAGATATTGAAGTGAAATGTCATTAGAGATAACATAGTCTAATTTTCTCCAGATATCAGTGAGAAAACTGAAGAAATCCAGAGATATGGGGCTGGGAATTTTTATCAAGTCCTGTAGACTTTGGAGTCCTGAGGCAGGCCTGTGAAGCAGAGTCCACCTCAGGGAAGGCGTACCAGTCACTGTGCTTTCTTCTACCACCTATCCCTACAGTTGTATACTGGTTGAATTTGTATGAGATGAACACCAGGGAACAAAAGTGAAGGAGAGTTATGGTAGCTTTGTTCCTTACCTCTCAAGTAGCGATTCTCAAATGAGGGGATTTTGCCTAGCAGGGGACATCTGGCAAAGTCTGGAGACATTTTTTGTTGTCACAATGTGGTAGGGGGTAGGGGAGATGCTACTGGCATCTAGTGGATAGACACTAGTAAATATCCAAAAAGCACAGGGCAGCCCCACAGGAAAGAATTATCTGGCCCCAAATGTCCATAGTGCTGAAGTTGAGAAGCCCTGCTCTAGGTTGAGAAAATGTGGGAGGATGGTTTCTTAAGCATTGAGGTTTATGGCTCGGGGTGAGAGAGCACTTCTTGTCATACATGAGGCAAGATAAAGATGTTAAACATAAAGGAAGGTGTAGTGAGTTAAAGATAAGAATTTGTAAAGTAAGTCAGCTCACTTAATCATTTCTGTCCAGCAGGAATCAAAGGTATTAGTTAAGTTGGTGGGAATGGGGGTCAGTGAAGGGAGATGGAGACAAAGTGAAAGAGAAGGTCTAAAAATGCCATTGTGGGGAGTGTGTCAGGAGCCAATAAGAAATGGAAAAAAGGATTCCTCAGGCAGTGCTCTCTGACACAGAGATGGGATGTGGAGTGAGGGTAGGGTGAGATCTGTGCTAGGATCTCATATAGTATGTACTGTAAAAACCCGCAAAGACAGGGGATCCTGACATGATGTCATAGCAGCAATGCAAGATTCCACACAGCAGCTGGGTGAATGTGGAAAAGTGTAATAACAGGTGTGTGCTGAAGAATCATGAACAGGCAGCAAGTTTAGAAGAGTGGGCAAGATGTCTGGTAAGCGCCTTGTTCAGAGAGGTGTGTTCTCCTCCTCATCATCTCTTACCTTCTTCTGGCCCACAGGGTGAGGACATTAAAGCAAGCGGAGAGTGGAAGTCCTTGCCAGCCCCTCTTGACCACATTAATCTTCATGTCCGTGGGGGCTACATCCTGCCCTGGCAAGAGCCTGCACAGAACACCTACTTAAGGTGAACGATGGGACCAGGTTTCTCCCTTACACGCCAGTTAGCCCAGATCCTGGTGAAGCCCACCAATTTGTAAGCAGCACCCTCAGGCCCAAAAGCAATTTTACTAAACATTTTTGTTTGTTTCTTTGCTTGTTTGTGTTTCAACCTTTTTCAGACTCTTGGAGCAATTATTAACAATTATTTTACATCTAAACGGGTGAGATGATGGGTCTAATCAGTAACATTTGAAGTGAAAGTCAAACAGGAGCAACCATGATTCATGCT